AGAGTTAGTGGTATGCTTAACTTCTTGATCTGGTAATCTAATCAAAGTTGCCTCTTTACAACTCAGAGTACCCTGGCTGAAGGGTATGATTGACCTCATGTGATTCAGTGGTGTCCACCCACACTCTGACAATGCCTGAAATTCTACAACTAGAGATTTATTCCTTTGAGTTCCAACTTTATGTTTCCAAGAGCATACCATTAAAATTTGACTACTTGTGGCAGAGATAATAGCTTAACCTGTTATTAATCATTATTAATTAATAATAAAAATAACATTAAAGCTAGCGTTTAAGGTTTGCAACATGCTCTTTTATTTGTTACCTTATTCGCCCTTCATAACAACCCTGTGAGGTAGGTGTTATAATTATCCCCATTTTATAAATGAGCAAACCAGAGCTAGGGGAGGTTAAGTGATTAGGATCACACAACTAGTAAGTGCCTAGGACAGGATTTGAACTCAGATCTTCCTGACTCCAAGTCTAGAGCACTCTCCACTATGTTACTTAGTTGTCACTTTATAGGTCTGTGGCGGGTGTCTTGAGGTGAGGTAGGAAGTGGGGATATCCACCCAAAAGTATGGAAAACTGCTTGAGTAAGTAGACAGAAAGTTGTAGGTGGCTCAAAGTCCATTTGTATAATTGATGGAAATTGATTATTCAATGTCCCTCTCTGGTATGAGGACAGAGTTGGGAGAAGAAAGATGTGGTCTTCTGGCTTCTAGCTCTGAGAAAGAAGACAGACGATCTCTCCAGGGAGATCCCTAAAGGGAGAGAAAGACTCTGGGAAGAAGCCAGCATGTAGAGGAGGAGCTGGACCTCGATCTTCATGGAATTTCTCCTTGAGTGACATCTCTCTGTCTCTGCCTCTGTCTCTGTCTCTCTGTTTCTCTCTGTCTCTGTCTCTTGTCTCTCTGTCTCTCTTTCTCTCTCATCTGCCACTCTAGTATTTTTTAAGCAATTGGGGTTAAGTGAAGCTCTGGTACTTAAGCCCAGGTCTCCCCACTCCAAACCCAGTATTCTGTGCATTACACCACTTTGCCCACAGGTCATAGCTTATAACTTGACTATTACAATGGCCTCTTAGCCAAACTCCAGTTTCTCTCTCTCCCACCCCTAATCTACCAGGCAACCCAACAGACTAATTTCCTAAAACAACACTTATATCAAGCCTCTTCCACTTAGAAATTGGCTCCCTGCTACCTTTAGGACTCTTGACACTCAAGAGTCTGCCATTTGGTTCCAACCAAGTTTTTCACCCTTCTCTCCTGTTCCTCTCCTGGACAAACCTCTTCTTTAGTCAGACCAGACAAGTTGTGCCTTCCTTATCAAGTGTGCTACATTCCCATCTTTATTCTACCCCCTCACTTCCAGTCTACCTAATCCTGACTAGCCATCATGACAGATGGCATAAAATGGTTAAAGAGATGGGTGTTAATTGAGGAAAACCAGAGTTCAAATCCTGCCTCACACAGTTACATGTAGCAGCAATGTGATCTTTTGTTTTTGTTTTTTGATAGCATTTCATTTTTCCAATTACATGTAAAGATAATTTCTGATATTTACTTTTTATAAAATTTTGAGTTCCAAATTTCTCCTTCCCTCCCCTCCCACCTGCCTAAGATGGTAAGCAATTTGACATAGGTTATATATGTATAATCATAGAGCCTTATGAAAATCACTTAACCTCTCTTGGGTTTCATGGGCCTTGGTTTCCTCATTTATAGAATGAGTGGGTTAGACTCAATGGCCTCCAAGGTTCCTACAATACTGTTTTACATTCCATATGGGCACAGTTATCCTTCACCCTTCTGTATCATTCATTTGACAGGTGCCTTATCTTTTCTGTGTATCTTCAGATTAAGCACAGGACAGTGGATGTAAGCTTGATCCTGAAAGCAAGAAGACCTGGATATTGCCTCCAATATATACTAGCTGTGTAACCACCAGCAACTCCTTTCCACAATTAGATAAGTCTCTAGGTTGTAGGTAAGTTCTGAATTGGTAAAGGGAATTTTTATTACAGAGTTAGTTCCCTACACCAAAGGTGTCAGACAGGGACCTTCAGCTGTATGACCTTCAACACTCCTGAGTGAAGTCCAAACAAAAATATAATTGAGACATATTTAACAAAATAAATAAAAATACAATAGAACATAATGTTAATATGTGGTTTTCTGAATCAATCAATATACAGTCTGAAGGGATCCTGGTGTAGTGTCTCCCATTTCTATCAGAGTTTGATAACATTGCCCTAACCCAAGGAACTCACAGGGCCAGACAACTCCTGCCCTCCACCCCCCACCAAAAAAAAAAAAAGGCTCTTGTATGATTTGTAATCTCCAAGAGGGCAGGGATTCTTTCTTTCAATTCTTCACATTCCCTGAAGGATACATTATCCTTGGGCCCCAACAGATAATCAATAAATATTTATTGATCTTTTTGGATGCTTGAAGTCCTCTTAGCTGCTGAGGGGCCCCTAATCACATGAACTGGGAAAAGGGGAAGAACTCTTTGATGACAACCATAAGTCATGTGTCTGAGAAGGCTTGAACCAATAAAGGGCAATCATCTCATTCCCTTCCTCCTCCCTCAGTGCTCCTGATGGTAGTTATCCCTGGTGCCAGAGGGGCTTACTTTTCTGAAATAAAACTATTAACAGGAAGAGATCCCTCCTGATATTTCTCAAAGAGAGGGACTTTCATCCTGATTCCCTCCAAATGGTTAGAGGATCATAGATTTAAAACTGGAAGAGACCTTGGGGACCACTGAGTCCTCCTCCCTCATTTTATAGGTAAGGAAACTGAGTCCCAGAGAGATTAAGTGACATGTTTTGCATATATTTGTTTGTATGTTGTCCCTCCTCTCATTAGATTGTAAGTTCCTTGAGGTCAGGGACTCTTTTTGCCTCTTTTTATATCCCCAGTGCTTACCAGTGCCTGGCACACAATAAGTGCTCAATAAATGTTTACTGAATTGAATTAAATTGAATTGCTCAAGTCACACAGCTTCGAAATGTATGAACTAGGATTCAAACTCAGATCTTCCTGACTTTAAGCCCACAGTTCTATCCACTGCACCAACTAGCTATCAAGGTGTGGTCGTAAAGGGGAAAAGCATGCCCCTTCTGGAAGGCTGCTGCATTCTCAAGGGGAGGATCTGAATACATACAGCGCAGGCAGGAATGGAGTTCAGCAAAGAGGGAAGCCCAAATGGACGCTGTAATAAGCCCAGATGAGTCCGGGCTATCTAACTTACGATGCACTTCCAGGCAGGCATATGAACAAATCTAATTACCGATTATCTAATCCACAAGCCACAATGGGTCACCCTTCATTATGAGGAAGCATGTTAAATTTACAAGACATCTGGAAGTGCAGTCAGCCCAAGGAGTATAATTACACACATGTTGCCTCAGCACATGCTGCTCTCTCTTGGATGACTCCAGTTTTTCTATTTTCAATCCTGGTTCCCACTGTCTTGAGGCAAAAATAGAAAATATGTGCATACATCAAAGCTCAGGGATTGGTTCTTTGAACTCCAGTCACTGGTGACCTAGCCTCAAAGCCACCTAGATGAGAGTTAAAATATGTCGCTGCCAACAAAGGAGAAATATTACAGTACGATCGAACTCGTTATTTCCAACTTTATCTTCCAAATGTTCTGGTCATTCAGGCACAACAGTCTGAGATTAAAAGATTAAACAACGATTAAAATGAATTTTCTTCCTGTATCTGTATGGCCCAATGTATTAACCTTGTGTACATGGATTTCCAAACACCTTCCTATTCATTATCTCTTTAGATCTTCACAACAACCCAATGAAGTCAGCAAGGCTGACTTCGGTTATCATCTGTTTTGACAGATAAAGAAACTGAGCCTGAAACTGAAGTAGCCTTTGAGACCTGAGATGACCCCAAGGGACATGTGATCCAACAAAAGGAGGGTGGTAAGCTAGGTCACATCCCACCCTAATGATCAAGCAATAACCAACGATGGAGTTTGTTTCTAGCACGATCACATCTCCCTTGTCTCCCTCCCTCTTCTGTGCAAGCTCTAAACCTCCCCCTTTCTGCATCCTCCTCAGGAAAGTTATAACCTGAGCTAACCACCACCTATCCCTAGACCCCTGTGGGGCTGTAGCAAGCACTCATCAGAAGGTGGGCTCCACACTCACTCCAGGGCATGCTCAAACATTTTTTACTGATATGAGGGAGTTGCCAGAGTTTGGAGATGCTCATCTAGTCTAACCACCTCATGTCACAGATGAGGGAGCAGATTCAGAGTGTTCAAGTAACTTGGTCAAAGATAAAAAGGTAAAAGAAGGCAGAGCCAAGATTCAAACCCCAATGCTCAGACTCCAAATACCATGTTGTTCCTACTCTACCGTCCTCTCTCTGCTGCTTGACTTCAGAAGACTGGCAATGAAACAGCAGAGAAATGGTGGAACATAAATGGGGAATAGGCAGTACACTGTCAGGCACGGCAACTGTGCTGGCTTGTTCTATTTAATTATCATTTTTTTATTATAAGGGAAGGCTTTTGGTAAGGAGAAGTCTCGGGAACAATAGAATAAAAAGTCGATAATTAAGATACATATTTTTTCAAGTACTGAGGCATCAAGGAATAGAGGGTAAAGAACTGCCTTCAACATTGAAAAGATCCTGATTCAAGTCTTGCTTCCTGCACATATTGGCTATGTGAGTCATTTAATCTCTAAGTGTCCTAAGCAACTGCCCAAAACTATAAGTTGCAGAGAAGGTGCCTATCTACATTGGTAGAAGGAGTTTCCTCATTGAGAGCTCCTTATTAATTGTCGTAAGTCCAGTACAAGCCAAAAATAACAATTTAAGTAACACAGCCAGTAAGACGCAGAGCTAGGATTAGTTAGAATCCATGTCTTCGGACTCCTTGTCCAATATTCATTCTACTCTACCAACAGCCTTTTCATGTAGAATATAAAGAAGTTGTATTAAGAACATTCTAATGCAGTGTATTTTATTAGAACACAGTAATTCATTCTTTGGGGACCTAGTTTTCCAGAATCTAATCAAGTTCAAACATTTTAATCACCAATTTCCCAAAGATGCCATCTTGAAGTCTTGGCTTAGTCAGGTATATACAGCATCTAGAATGAGACAAGACAAATCTCGTCAGCTCTGCCTCTTTATTGCTCATGTCTGTCCCTTTCTCTCAACTCACAGAGTCACCAGCCCAGTTCAGACCCTTGTCACCTTTTGCCTGGAATATTGCAACCAGTCTTCTGTTTCACTGGTCTCACCACTGCAATCCATTGTCCACCCAGGTACCAAAGTGGGTTTTCTGCAGAATACATGTCACTCTCTTGCTCAATAAACCGCATTGGCTCCCCACTGACTCTAATATCAAACAATATCTCACCTTTATTTAATCTTTTTTAATGTCTTTTTCATCTTTTATAATGTATGTGCTATTATAGTAGTGTACATATTGGTACACTAGTACACATATATTATTTATAAATAAGTAAGTACACACATGAGGCAGTATGGTGGAATGGATAGAGATGCGAACTCAGAGCCAGGAAGAGGTTTCCTTAGGCTGCAACTCAACACTGAGACTTCATTTCAATGTACAAATTTACTTTAAGTTTTATTGGCTTATGTATTAATATAATACATGTAGAAGTAGTAATAGTAGTAGTAGCAGTAGTAAATAATAGTAGCAGTAGTAGTAGTAGCTATTGTTATTGTTGTAGTCATCATCATAGTAGTAGCAACAGCAGTAGCTGTTAGCATTTGTATAGCACTTTAAGGTTTGAAAAATGCTTTATAAATATTATTTATTATGATCCTCACAACAACCCTGGGAGGTAGACACTATTATTATCCCTATTTGACAGATGAGGAAAAAGAAACAAACAGAGGGTAAGTGACTTACTGAGAGTCATATAGCTAGTAAGTATCTGGTGCCAAATTTGAACTCATATCTTTCTGACTCTAGGTCAACCATTCTATCTACTGCACCATCTGGCTGCCGCTAACAGCCATGGAGTCAGAAAGGATCTTCATAGGTCATCTGATTCAGAACCCTGCTTTCAGGCACACCTAAATCATTCAATTCACATATGAATATCCTGTTTTAGAAGATGCCTAGGGAAAAGGAAATTATGTATCCTTCCTTGGTCATTTTACCCCATGCTTGACAGAGGAAATAACACTTGATTTTCTTGAGGTCTTCCAAGGAATTGTCTCTATAAAATTGCTTTAAAGGAAAAATTGCTTTGATGAAAAACTATGGTTTTAGAAAGGCAATCTTATCTGACATCCTTTATCCAAAAAAATGTATTTTCTCATGGTTTAGTGTTTAGGAAAACTTTACAAATGATAAGTTCCTTAGAAGTTTTTGCCACCAAAATCCTTGGCATTATGACATGGTTCAACATCAGAAATCGGTGTGATTTTATCAGTTACTGCACCCTAAATTCCATGGGATGTTTCCATCTGACTTTCAGCTAACACCTGGTATATGTGTTATAATGGGAGCTCCTTGAGATGAAGAACTATCCCCATTTTTCTATTAGTATCCTTAGCACTTAGCACAGTGCTTGACACATCATAAGTGCCTGATAAATGTAGTTTTTATTTTAATTCCTTCATTCATTCAAGATGACTTTACTCACTTTGGATGTTTCTGTTGTATGGGATTCTATAATTAACTAATTTGATTTCCTTCTTTAACCTTTATTTGATTAAAGGAACCACAGAGAGAGCTCATTTGTCCACTTCCTCATCTGGTTGAAACAATAACCAAAGAGAAGGGGGAGCGGGGAAAATACCAGTAAGCATGAATAATAACATGTAGGAATGGAATAAAATCTGTCTCTAACAATGCTGCGGGTGAGTATCTTCAAACCTTCAATGAGTGACACTAGACTTTTGAAAGGTCTAAATTCTATTTGAAATTATGTTCCATTATATATCCATCATGGCCATTTGAGTGTATCCTTAGCAATGTAGTTCACTTGTCAACAGAAGCTTGTTGGATGTATAGTTACTATATACCCCATAGATGCTCCATAAATATTCGTTGATAATAATGATAGTCCTGAATTCCTGGAGCAAGGCTTTCCTACTGTAAAAGCCATCTGTTGCTGGCTCTATTTGGGTACACTAGGGTGAGAACATCCTGAGTTTTAGGATTCATCACTTTTATCACAGATGATTTAATTTTGTCAAATATCTTTTCTTACCCTGGACAAGCAAAGATTTCAATCTTCTAATTCCTTTGCCTCTCACCATTTTACCTTGCTACAGCTAAATCACATTATGAGAAACCACATGATATTTAAAACACACTGATTTAGAGGGGAATTTAGAGGGAGGTTTTTTAATACTTTTGTAATTTTGGGATTTTGTTGGGTTTTTTTTTTGTCTTGTTTTCTTATGGGTGGGAGAGAGTCTAGACCTGTGGTTTCATCACTGTTGGAAACTCCCAGCATGGAAACTTTCACCATCAATAAAGATCAGCAACTCATCTCAAACTTGGCCACTGAGGCATTAAATGATTTGCCCACGGTCACACAATTGGAATGGCTCAAAGGCAGAACTTGAACTCAGGTCTTCCTGACTCCAAGGTCAGCACCTTATGCACTACAAAATCCTAACTTTCTTACTATATAATATTCCATTTGGGCAGCTTCTTTTATAGGGTTTTTAAAATGTGTTTATATAAAGGAGGAAAATAATATTGGTAGCAGTGCTATTAGGCTGCTGTAGACAAAAAAAAAATTTATTTAAAAGGCCATATTGATTTAGAAATTAGGACTGACCACACACGTGAAGCTTGATCTCCAGTGGCGGTCTTGTTGAGGATATTGACTAACGTCCCCTCATGCAGAAAACGTTTTTCTTGTTTGGTTGGTTTTGCTGCCTTTTTTGTCATAAACTAATCTGATTTCCTTTTTTAACCTTTGTTTGATTAAGGGAACCACAGACATTTGCATTAAAATTCAAGAGAGCTGAAGCCTGCCATCGATCGACTTCCTCAAAGACCACTTATACTCAGCGAAAGATGATTTAGAGAATGTCAAGAGTCTTAGAACAACTCTAATGAGAGGGAGAGGAAAAAAATCACTTCAGACTTACAAACTGTTAAGGGCTTACTTGACAGAAAGGGCAATTGTGTTTGGTGGATGTGTTTTAGAGAAATCAAATCGGGACGTTTAATTTTGTGCTCGGGCCAACTCATCAAGAGAGGCGCGGGATGAACGACCATTAATAAAAGCATAGCCTAACTGAACCAAAATATTTCAAAACACCTGAAAAGGATGAACAGAAACACCAGGATTATTATTGGTGACAAGGAAAATGGGAGTAAATTGTAATATCTCTTGATAAATAAGATAGGAGCTATACACTGACTTCAGACTTCTGCGATAGATTCCTCTGGGTAAATTGAGAGGGCTTTCCCTTGCTGCTTCTGATGTGAATAAGGCTAATGCCTGTACCCTCATAAGCACTAGCCCCACCACCCCCTCCTCCAGAGGCCTTATAAATAGCCCTCTTTCCCAATAAAACCTAAAACTCTTTATCGTTTCTGGGAGTGACCCTTATGTTGTCGCTGACCTCCAGATCATTTTCGGGAATAGAGTCAATGTACAATATTTGGTCCTAACTTGGTAAGCACAGTATCCATTCATATTTTCAACCTCAAAACCTTCTGTGAAGGGGGTGCTTCCATCACTTATGCAAGGAGTTCCATGGGATCCTGAGACTTGAATTCAGATTGATTCAACACAGTGCCTAGCACTGTGTTAGGCATCATAGAGGTCATAAGAGTAGATTAAATGCTGCTCACCCTTAATAGGGGACAGCTAGGTGGAGCAGTGGATAAAATGCCATGCCAGGCTTGGAGTCAGGAACACCTGAGTTCGAATCATACCTCAGACACTAGCTGTGTGATCCTGAGCAAATCACTTAACCCTGTTTGCCTCAGTTTCCTCATCTGTAAAATGAGCCAGAGAAGGAAATGGCAAAACACTCCAGTATCTTTGCCAATAAACCCCAAATAGGGTGACATTATAAATACCTGCACATATACACATGGCATATATAGATATATCACAAAGAGATCAAAGGAAGAATAAATGTACCCATGTGTGCAAAAATATTCACAGCAACTTTTTTGTAGTAGCAGAGAACTGGAAAGTAAGGGGGCTGAGCAAATTCTGGTATATGAATGTAAAGGAATATACTATTGTGCCCGGAAAGGGATGAAAAGTTTCAGAGAAATCTGGGAAGACTTGTATGAATTGATGTAAAGTAAAGTGAACAGAGTCAAGAGAGCCATTTATATTATATCAACAATATTGTAAAGACATACAACTTTGAAAGACAAGAATTTTGATTGATGCAATGTTTAACAATAATGCCAGAAGGCTACTAATAAAGCATGCTACCCACCTCCTAACAGAGAGGTGATAGACTCTGGGCACAGAATGAGATATATATATTGTTGGACATGGTCAAAGTCATAGAGGCAGTGACAAAGCAAGGAAGTAAACATAGTTCCTCTTTCCAATGCACCAAGTTTCCTCTTCCTCATCATCATTCGAAGCTATATAGGATAATGCATGGAATGAGGTAATATATGCAAAACCACTTCCAACCTCTAGGGCATCATTCAGGGGAATGGTGTGACAAAATGTATGGCATGGTGTTTCTCTGGATGTATCGATTCTGACATATTTACCCATAGTATTTCCTGGGTGACAGAAGACTAGAAAATGTACTGCTAATTCTATTTCACACATGGATAAATCAAAGGAAAGAGTAAGTGGCTTGACCCAGTTCACCAAATAATGGCAAAATCTTGCTCTTCGTCAGGTTGAGTAAACGTTCATGATGCCATGGGAAAAGTTTCCGGAGCAGTATATCATTGTTGCCTCTAAGATAACTGATGGCACTTACTTCAACAGCCATTGTTCAACTCACCCAGTTACTCTCTTTGGTTTTCCAACTCCATTGCTACAACTTTGGATCTCATGAGTGTAATTGTGCTTTGGATATAACTGTTCATGTTGTTGTGGTATCTTAACTGATACAGCTGAAAATATTTCTCCTTTATGTGAACAGAAGCTGAGCTTTTAGACAAGTATAGTCATTTAACTTAAAAGAATTTGGAAATAATGGTTGAAATAACTGAAGAAGTCTACGAGAAGATTGAATTTGACACTATGTGACAGGTAAAAGTACTGTTTCCTTACATTCAGTGAGGTGTATTTTTAAATCATACATAATTTTCTAAGGGCTAGAAACAAAATTAGGTAGGTTGGGTGTGAAAATACATTAAGTTTTGTTGTCATAAGCATAAATATGGGTAAAGGAGCAGCCTTTGAATTAAGACCTTGATTCAAGTATAGTCTTTGACCCACAATTGCTCAGTGACCTTGGACAAGACACTGAGCCTCTCATTGGCCTAGCCAACTCTTTAAGATTGTAAATTTTAGACCAGTTGCTAGTCTGTACAATCTGAAAAAAGTTCCAAATTTGGAACACCCTTACATCAGCAAAATCACAGGGCCAAATCAAAATACGTATTCATGTATGTGTGAGAAAACCTTAAAGACATCACAAAAGTGACACATCAATTTTAAATACTTTCTAATTCCATGAAATCTGACTCTTTTTTTTTAACTAAATGCACCATTTTATTTTGAATTAAGCAAGAGGAAAGAAAGAAATCATGCCATGGATGGTAACAAGATTTTCAAAACAGTTTGTGAAACCATTAGTGCTGAGGAAGCTGACTGTCCATAAAGCCTGACAAAGAAATATTTTCATGTGTCCCACAGGGGCAAGACATTAACCATCCTCTAATGTCACAAGTCCACATTAAATCTATATTATGTTTTACACAATGTTAAAAATCTATATCAAGTAATATAAAATTCATCTAGAGGATACTGTGTTTATAAATTCTTGAAATATTTTTGAGACTTTTATTTGGACCATAATTCAAAAAAAAAAAAAACAACTCCATCATCCTTATTCTGTTAGCTTCTATCTATGTTGTGCATCCAGTCTTATGGAAGGGAAAGCAGTTTTAGCACCTGGGAAATCAATCAAACTCATCCGCATCAGAGGGCCGCAGCCCAGACATGGAGCAATTTCCCCCCTTCTTCAGCTGCCTTTCAAAATCACTGGGCAGCATTCTTATGTCATAACACAAAGGCTTTGCTAGCATATTCTATGTGTAATTTATCAAAAGGACCAGTAAGATGTTCAAGTATTAAAAAAGGAGAAAAAAAAGCAATAGGCTGTGGCTGACTACCTGGAAACTTTAAAAGACTTGATTTTGCACACTCTCCTATCCCCTATAGCCTCTGGATTTTTAGCTTATTAGTGACTCCTAGGATACTGTCCCTGTCTCCCCATTATTCAAGCCAATAATAACTGTTCAAGGTGCCCAATAACACATTAAAGGTCACCAAGTTCACTGCTTGGCTCACCTTGATTTAAAGTATTTTTGAGTTTTTGAGGTTAAGCATTTGTAAAACTTCAAGAAAATAATCTGACACCATCAATATATGGGTAGATTTTTTAAAATGACTGTTGTTAACATTTAACTGCATTTGGTTTTTAGCCAGGATATACATATGATAGCACATAGTTAAAGTACGGAACAGAGAAGGGAGGAAAGGAAGGAAGAATGGGAAAGAGAAGAGGAAGAAAAGAAGGGAGGGAAGGACAGGAGAGAAAGACAGAGGAGGGGAGAGGAGAAGACAAGGCTTTCTAATTCATTTAATATTCTGGCTAATGGAGAGTCACCATGTATACCAAACATGTATTACAATTTTCAGATTATGACACTACCATAAAATGGCTATGCCCCCTAAGGTAAAACAATCTTCTTTCTATAGTCTCTATGTACAGACTAGATGCAAATGAAGTTTCTGTTTCATCTTCCTATTCTGTTTCCTGGACCAGTTGAGAGGGGACCCAGTTTCTGTCCACAGTGGGTTCCTGCCTTGACCACAGTCTTGAGACTGGCCAGAGTGACATTAATAAAGAGACAAAGAGCCCAGAGGGTTTTACAACAGCAGTATGTATCATCTTACTGGACACATAGCTAACTACTGCTTTATTTTGTTTTCTAATCTTCTAATAATTCCATTGCAATGAAGCTTGGAATTCCTGATCTCTGACTTGCACTTTTAATTGACACTGTATTCTTCCTTACCTAATGGATTTTATGTCCATAAGGGCAGGGGAGCTAAACCATATCCTGAGAGGAGACCATAGCAATATGGAACATATTTGCTTCTTTGATGGTTTAGAAAGCATTTAAAGAACATAGTTCCACAGACCTTTGTGAACTTCTCTGCTGGACTATAAACTTCATGAGAACAGAGATCATCTCTTACCTAGTCTCTGCCTCCCCCAGAATTTAACTTTTCTGGATTTTGTTTTGTTTTTCACTCATTTGTTATTTAAAAACAGAGGACATGAACAAATCTTGCACAATCTTAATACACACATGGGAAATATTCTTTAGAATCATTAAGTTGCATTTTTCTCTACCTAGTCATTTGGGAGTCTGTGTACGTGCATGGGCTATGGCAATCACCAGCAACCAATAAACACAGAGGGATCTTAAATCCTCTGCACCTTTTCGTTGATTGAAGATATGGCCTGCTATAAAAACTCATCTAAAAAAACTCTTCTCATATTTTCAAGGGAATCCTCATTACATGTATAGATTGTTCTTGTAAAGATTTTACAGAGCTGAGAATGTAGGCAATTGAGTTGACAGCTGCTAATGCCTTCTCAGTGGCTTTTAAAATATACATATATATATGCATATATATATATATATATGTGTATATGTGTATATATGTGTGTGTATATATACATACATACATATATATATATGTGTGTGTGTGTGTGTGTGTGTGTGTGTGTGTGTGTGTGTGTATATAAATAATACTGTCCATGATCTTTACCACTTCTTTGGAATCTTTTCCAATTTGCAATATTTTGAAAATCTGTCCCTGAGAATCTTCAAACTTAATGCTACCTTCATCATGCAACCCTTCTATGTGTGCTTGGTCAGGCTCCAAACATTCAACTTATCTTGATTTTCTCCAAGTGCCTTCTCTACTTTTTCATGTAGTACTCCAGGTACTCAGGTATTGGAATCCACACACAGTGGTTCTGCCATCATCAACTATCATAATAGATCTGTGCCATTTTGTGTCTTTATTGTCCTTCTTCCAGTTTTGTCTATGAGACAGATCTTGGGATGACCTGTATTAGTTTGGTTTCATGCCATACTTTCTTCAGTTTTGTCTTTCCTTCCACTGTTTTTTGATGCTTTATGATGCAATACTGTTCATAATCTGCCAGCATCATCCTGCTTAATGTATGGCAAATGAGCTTGTACTTCAGACTGGTATTGCTTCAAGGCTGCCATGCCTGTGGGCTAGGTGAGGTTAGCTATTTGTTGCCTGAGGACCTTACTGAGCTCTTTTGGCCTTCCTGTTGGGGTGATACATTTTGATTAATTAAACTTCTAAGTGAAAAAATATTAACAAAAGTCAATGTCTTCATCTTTATTAAGTTCCTTTTTGTTTTTGTTATTTCAACAGCTTGTTTGAATGGGTTAGGTTGTAATGGTTGTAATTTCCTCCAGTGGAGCCTTCTCATCTCCATTCTTCCTTCTAATTGGCACTGATTTTTACCTTTTCTTTAACTAGTCAATGATTTACACACAATTGATTCTGAAATAACTTCCTGTAATCTGGCATTTTCAGCCTATGAAGAGATATTTTTATTTTCATAATGATGTTCAGTGCTTACCATATTCAATGACTTCTGTCTCTTCTCTTGAACATAATATGTTTGAAGATGAGGCTACTATGTGGCACAGTGGATAGAGTGCCAGGCCTGGAGTCAGGAAGACCTGAGCTCAAATCTGACCTGAGACATTTACTTGCTGTGTGACCCTGGGCAAGTCACTTAACCCTGTTAGCCTCAGTTCCTTATCTGTAAAACGAGCTGGAGAAGGAAATGGCAAACCTCTCTCATATCTTTGCCAAGAAAACACCAAATGGGGTCACAGAGAATCGGACATGACTGAACAACAATGGTCCTTTACATTTCTTAATTTCAAATCGTATTTTCTAGCATACATACTTTTTGCTTTTTTCTCCTGTGCCCACGTTTTTGTTGAAGTCCTTGAGTATTTAATTTTGGGTCTGGCCAAGTTCTTTGTAGACTTTCACCACATCTTTGTCCTTTGTAACAAATGTGATGAATATTATCTTCATGGCAATCTTTTGCCCATGCTCACCATTAGTACTGCAGGCCAAAGTGACTAATGATATGAATTTCTTATTGCTTTTAGAAGCATAGCAAACCTAACTCTGTCTTTCACTGTCATCTCACTTTTGCTGAAGTTCTCCCCCAATGCCTGGAATATATTATATCCACCTCGGCCTCTTTGAAGCCTTAAGCCTTCTTCAAAGTTCAGGCCTTCTACATGAAGCCTTTCTTTAGCCTCCAAGCTAGTACCTGCTCCTGTCCCGCTCCTTACCAGAGGCAGCTAGGTGGTATGGTAGATAGATTGCTGGGCCTAGAGTCAGGAAGAGCTAAGTCCAAATCTGGCCTCAGACACTTACTAGCTGTACAACCCTGGGAAAGATATTTAACTTCCAAAGACATCATAACAGCACCTACCTTCCAGGGTTATCATGACGATTGATTTGCAAAACCAATGGTACAAAGTAGGAGCTTAATAACTGCTTGTGTCCTCCCTATCAAAAAAAAGCAAAAAACATTTTCCTTAATAAAATGTAAATTCCTTGAAGGCAATAATTATTTCATTTGGGGTTTTGCATCTCTGTCACCTTACATGGTGCCTGGAACATAATAGATGCTTAATAAAGTCTTGTTGTTTGATTTAGCTATTATTTCTCTTTGTCTTTTGGTTTCATCCATAAGGAGAACATCAGCATTACAAAGGTTCATTTCCTCTATCGTTGTATCAGTTCATTGATGATTGGACAAAGATCACATGTTTAGGGTATTAACAATTAAATTATGCTTACATGTAATCTAAAAACTCTGTGATGCTTGGCACTTTCTTTTAGAATTATTGCCAGAAAAACCTTCCAAACATGCCCTATTCTAAATGCCTCCTATTCAAAGAATCTTCAATGAATCCCTACCACCTACTGCATTAAATATGAACTCCTTTTCTAGTCTTTTAGACCATCCATAATACGGCTCCTTACCTTTCTCATATTTTCATTTCTCTCGTTTAGCTGTACTCTGTTGCAGTCAGGCAAGTTTTCTTCTGAACAAACTATATTCATTCCCACTTCCATGTCTTTGCTCATGCAATCAATCCATTCCACCTGAATATCCTGCTCCCTTCTCTGTGCCTGTTCAAATCCTACCCAACCATATCAAGTACCACCTTTCCAACAAAGCCTACCCCATACTTGTTTCTCCCTTTTCCAAAATACTATTGCACTTAATCATATGTTGTTTTATGACTCTCTTCTATTTATGTGACATCACCTTCCCCCCCCAAAAAAAATTATAAGTATTTTGAGGCAGCTAGACAGTATGGTGGATAAAGTGCTGAACTTGAAGTTAGGAAGATCAAATATGGCCTCAGACACTCACTGGCCGTGTGACGCCGGGCAAGTCACTTAACCGCTGCCTGCCTCAGTTTCCTCAGCTGTAAAATGGAGATAATAATATCACCTACCTCCCAGGGTTGTTGTGAGGACCAAATGAGATAATATGTGTAAAACCCTTTGCAAACTTCAACGCATAATGTAAATGCTAGCTATTATTTTATACTTCTTTTTGGAATCACCCACTGAACCCAGCACAGTGCTAGGAACATTATAGATAACCAAATATCTGGCTAATAGTTAATAGTCCCCCTACTAGATTCTGAACTTGATAAGGAATTACAAATCTAAAATTTATAATGTATATATGAAGAGCCGACCGAACTAAAGTGACCCTATGATATACTCTAGAAGTGTTTCCTGTTATTGTCAAGCTGTTATGAGATTGTTTACTAATCATTTATTCCTTTTAGTGAAAAAGAAATCCCAGAAAATCTAAGGATAACCTAGTCCAGAGGCCAGGAAAGGAGTGGCTCTATAAATACAGACTTTAAGCTCCTTTAGCCAAAATAAACCTATGAGCCCATACCTGGGTGTTGACTCATCTCATTAATAACCCAGAAGCTCTTTGGAAACTCCTAGCCCTGAAAGTGTAGAGAGCTCCAGCCTAGAACTGTCACATTCCCTCCCTCCCCTAGGGCTCACTGCTGCCCCATCTGCTGCTTCCTGTTCTATATACATCATCCCCTCAGGACCAGACTCTTCCTCTGCTGGAAGGTGACAATAAACTAATCTGATAAATGCATTCTTGTCTTATGTTAAGGGGAGAAGGGTATAGGAGGACATTCTTAGGGTTACCTCTCCAGGTACCAGGCACCCACAGGTCCTTCTGAAGACAACAAATTATTATTTGGTCACTCTAGTCTAGTGTAAAAATTAAACATGTTGACACTCTGAAAGTTTTATCTGCATTTAATTTATGCAAGTTTTTGTTGTTCAGTAATTTCAGTCATGTCTGATTCTTCATGACCCCATTTGAGGTTTTCTTGGCAGAAATAATGGAGTGGTTTGCCATTTCCTTCTCCAGATCATTTTACAAATGAAGAAACTGAGGCAAACAGGGTTAAGTAACTTGCCCAGGGTCACACAGCTAGTAAATGTCTGAGGCCAGATTTAACCTCAGGAAAGATGAATCTTCCTGACTTCAGACCTGGCACTCTTATCTATTGCACCACCTTGTATGTTACAATAATACAATAGACAATAATTTAAATGAAACAATAAAATATATGAATTAGCATAGATGAGGTTTTTACAAAATCAGTATTGCATCAATTGAATATATGTGTGAGATTGTACAGGGTGCACTGAGTCAGTGTAATTTTAAGTTATTATAGTTTTTGTGACATTTTGTGCTTGTGTGTATGTATGTATGTATATAAACATATACATGTTTATTGTATAATACACATGTATATTGTGTATTCATACACATATATACATGTATGTTATATACATGTGTATATAAGCAGATGTGCATATATGTACATGCACATACATAGGTCCTTTAATAGATTACAAGACTAATATTCTAAGACTTAAAAAAAAACCCTCTTCTCTCTTAAAAGCTTGCTGATTTCTAATCTGGCCTAATTTATTTCTTGAAGGAAAAAACTCCTATGCCTTCCCCAACAAATAGTCACAACTCCTTCCACTTAAACACCACCATTGACAGGGAGTTTGCTATCCTGAAGCAGCCTGTTCTCATCTTAGATCAGCTCTAATTGTTAAGTTCTTCCTTAGAAAAATTGAAAGAAGGGTGGAAAGAATCACAGACAATCAAGACAGTTTTAAAAATTATATGTTGAATTTATTATATACTTTAAAAGAAAAGCAAGCTCTAGACAAAAGAAATGTTCAATTCCACACACAATCCTCTCCTGCTCTGTGGTGTATGTGGAAATGCTCATTTTATGTTAAGTTCAAGACAACAATAAAATATATATATGATTCTTTCTTACATTGAACCCAAACCTACCTTTTTGTAAACTTCCATTCACTGATCCCAGTTCTGTTCCCTGTAATCATGTAAAATAAATCTAATCGCTCTGGCACATGGTAGCACGTCAGCCATTTGAAGATACCTGCCATTTGAAGATAGCTATCATGTCCCCTGACAAGTCTTTTTCTAAATTATACATGCCCACCTCCTTTTAGCTAATCCCGTGGTTTCAAGTTCCCTTAACATCTCAGTCTTCCTCCTCTGGACTCAATCCAACCTGTCAATGGCTCTCTTGAAATGCAGCCCAGAAAACTCAGTGTGATATAATTCCAGATGTGGTCCAACCAGGGCAAAAGACGGTGGGATTAGCACCTCCTTTGCTCAAGGCACCATCCATTAATGTTAACACAAGGTTGCAAGGTAAATGCCACCTAAGATTATGTTAGCTTTCTTAGCAGTCAAAAAAATGTAGCATAAGAAAAAATAAAAACTTTATTTGTTCGTTTTCCAATTCAGGATAAAGGTAAGTTTGTTAAATGTATGTATTGGATGTATGGAAAGATGGATGTAATATATATGTATGTGTGTATATATGTATATAAAATATGCGTGTGAAATATATGTAAAGTGCTTTGTAAACCTTAAAGTTCTACATAAATTCTAGCTATAATATAATAATAATATTATGTATGTATGTATATATATATATACACATTTATATAGAACTTTAAGGTTTGCAAAGTACTTTACATATGAATATATGCATACACATATATATACACAGTGTTATCATTATATTATAGCTAGCATCTGTATAGAACTTTAAGGTTTACAAAGCACTTTACACTGGTATTTCATTTGATCCTTACAACCACCCTTTGAAGTAGGTGCTATTATTAAACCCATTTTACAGATGGGGAAAATGAGTTATATGACTTGACCAGGGTCGTGCAGTATCTGGGGGAGGATTTGAACTCAGTTCTTCTTGACTCCAAGTTCAGCACTCTATCCACTGAGACCCAGGGATGGGGAACCTATGGCCTGAAGGCCACAGGTGGACCTCTAGGTCCTCAAGTGCAGCCTTTGACTGAATCCAAACTTCAGTGAAGTTGGTTTCTGATGTTGAATTCTAATTAGTGAACTTCAGTGAAGTTTGAATTCCATCAAAGGGCCACACTTGAGGACCTAGAGGGCCACATTTGGCCTCCAGGTCATGGGTTCCCCACCCCTGCTACTAAGCTGTCTAGTATTACAATGGATGTGTACATATATCTATACATACCTGTATATGTGCGATGTATATGTATATATATATATATATATATATGCATATAAAGTGTTTTACTAAAAAAAATGAAACTTTAAAACCATCTACTGTAAAAAGCCAGTATATGCCCTATAAACTCTGGATCCCAGAAACCAAAAATATTTCCAAGGTTTCAAATGAGAAAGCAGCATCAGAGTTTCTCTTGCCTTCAGGGTAATCTGTGAAGGTTACATCAAGTCTATCAGCCTGTGAATTCAAAGCTGTTCCATGTCACTTTTCAGTGTCATCATTAGCTGTCTTGGTTCCAGGTCACTTTGTTTTCCAGCCTGGTACACTTTCCATTTTTCATTTTTTACCATTCTTAATATTCCCTGGAAAGGCCAAGGTGATTGTAAAAGGCAGAAGGAAAGCCTTGGAGTCAGAGGCCAGTAACAGAATAAGTAAGTACCAGAGATTGGAAGGAGCAGCTCCCCAGAACATTAAAGACATGGTATATTTGGGGAAAATTTAAAAAAAAAAAAGATGGGGAGGGGGATTTGTGTTACCCTAAGGCTGGTCCTCTTAGCTATTAGTTTTCCAAATACTGTGGTTTTAGTTTTATGCCTCTTTGCATTTAAGTTGAAAAAGGTACATTTTAATGCCCTTTACACAAGAGCACATGCACACACACATACACACAATCAAAGCCAGCAAAATACGAAATTTTGAGACAAACTGGCAAGGGATCACTTACACAAGCTGTTGCCATTTTCCACTGATGCTAAATTCTATTTAGCTGCTCTGTACAACAACTATGGAATTGTTTTACCATATGATGCGGCCTGTGGGCTGAAAAATGACATGTGCCCTAGGAGAATTACAGAATGTGTGAGCTGGAAGGCACCTTAGAGGTTAACAAGCCCAATGCCTTCTTTTTATAGACGAGAAGATTGAGGTCTATTAAACTGATATGACATGTCTAAGGTCATACAGCTAGCTAGTCAATAGAAGACTAGTTCCCAGGACCCCTGAAAAAAAAGTACAGCCTTTTTTCATGATAGAAGCCTTTGTCCACAGCCTGTAAACTTTGGAGTTTAAGTTAAAATTGTCTTGTTACATTGAAACAGAGTGTTTGAGAGCATCTAGGCTATCACATGGAGGACATGGTTAGTGGTTATCAGATAAACATGGGCTTCAATATGTGAGAGAGATATATAAACATATAGAGAGATAAAAGAGGTAGAGAGGAAGAAGAGACAGAGAGAGGAAAGAGAGAGAAGAGACAGAGATAGAGTGACAGAGATCGAAACAGAGATTTGGAAAAAAGAGATAAAGATGGAGGTCATATTTTGAAGACTGAAGGTTTGGGAAGTTTAAACTTCTGTGAGAAAGTGAATCAAAACTGGGAGGAGGGGCCCAACTCTCAAAATTCAGATGAAGGTCTAGCTGGACAGACGTCATTGCGTGCTAGTCCTGTTAAATTACATGCTTGCTGCTTCTCGATGTTTAATTTCACAGGTTCATCCTTCTATCACTCACCTTGGGCAGAAGCTTATGAAGAACAATAGACAATTTTTGCAGTAACTGAAGAAGAACTTGCTGCCAGGGGTGGTGTGTGAAGGATGGGTATGGCGGACAAATTACAGGCTTGGCTCCTCACTCATCAGAATGGAAACATGTCTGTGAATCAGTGTATGAAGAGGATACTTAATAGGATAGAAAAAGTCATTTTAACACCTGTTTCCTGTGCAATTGAATTCACTAATGTCAATCACTCACCGCCTGAATTCACTCTCCAAGCATAAAATGATCTCATCTCTTTTCCTTTAAGATTCAAAGCAGCAGAACAAGGCCTATTTTTAACAGCGAGGGGAGGGGAGGGGAGATTCCACAACATTGTCATTTAGGACAGTTTCCCTTGAAACAGTGAAGGGTGATGGTAAGCAAAGCCAGAAGCCTCGTTTGCCCATCGGTCTGGCAAAGTATGTATAGATGTGTAAACAAAACACATATAAGCAAAATAGAGGTTGTGAAAAATGAAGAGTATGGAAAGTTAAAATGGGGATAGGTGAAATAACATCACCCTCTCAGTTACTAAAATCAGTGCTATAAATGCCACGGTGATGAGGCCAAGACTTGGCCAGTGGTTTTTATTGCAGTCCATTATGCTAATGGAAAAAAATTCATTTTGAACTGTAGCTGTCTGTATTGACTTAGGTTAGATGGAAATTCAGGCTCATTTGTTGGGATAGAAGGGTAGACTTCAGCGCCATGTAAAAATCAGTAGACATCAGCTCATTGCATTAGGACGTTCCCCCGTGGAATGGAGCATTTGCTGATCTCTGTCATACAAAGCTTCAGTGTTGGACTGTTTTCTCCTCCTCTTTTTCCTGTGTTTCTCTGAAAGTTTGCATTTCCCCAGTGCATAATTTGCAGAGAATTTTATTTCATCAGAACCCATCTGAACTCAATTTTATTCCTTAGGGGAAAGAGCCATCATTGTTGAATTATTTTCCAAGAGCCAGTGAGGATAAAATTAAATCATGACTATGTTGGCCTTGGAAATTTGTGACTGCTGCTTTTCTTTGGGCATTCACACTTCTTAAGGGTGAAATGGTGCAACCACAACACTTTTTTTCTAAACTAGGTTTCCCTGATGCCTTTGTTTTTATAACACAGTCATTTCTAGATATTACCCCACCACAATAACATACACACAAAATGGAACTCTTCTTTGTAACAATCAGAAATTGCTAAGCAAAAAAAATATTAGAGTATGTATATAACATTCTGACCCCACAATCCCCTACCCCTCACATTTCCCAACAGGGTTTAGCCTTTTATAAATAAGCTCCAATCCTTGAAGTGTCTTCTGAAAACACTGACTGACTTAGCATTTGCTTTCTAGAGAACATTTTGAAGGTGGGTTTCCTTTAAGTTTCCTTAAATAGCTTTGCTCCCTCTCACCTTTCCTTAATTTTTAAAGATTTGTTAACATTAGAGATAATGTCAAATTGAAGTGTTTTCGCTTTGAGATGTTAGATCAAATCTAGGCTCCGACACATTACTCTGTGACCATGAGCAAGTCATTTCCTCTTTTCTAAGTCTCAGTTTCCTAATTTATAAAATAGGGGTGATGAGACATACAACCCATCTCACACAACTGGTGGGAGAAAAATGATCTGTAAACCATAAAGCTCTCTACATAGGTGAGATGTCACTGACATTAGTCTAAGTATTCATTTTTATGAGCCTGCTCCCAAGGAAATGGGTTTGCCATTCACAAGACTTCAGAAGGTCTCCTGCTTTTACCATTGCCTTTGATTATGACCTGGCTGAAAAGGAAAAGTCTTTAGAGGAGGCAAAACGGCATTATCATTGGTGTGGAACTTTCCGAGAGCTTGGGAACAGTTGGGAGCCAGCTGCTGGAGTTGGGGTTAGCTGGATTTTATGTTTTTGGGTACTGGATTTTTCAAGAATATGAATCTAGTTCAGGGGTTCTTATTCTTTTTTTTTTATATAAATGTCATGGACCCCTTGGGCATTCTGGGGAAGCCTATGGACTCCTCAGAATAATGTTTTTAAATGTCTAAAATAATTAAATACAGTTATCAAAGTATTTTTAAAAACAACCTGGTGGATCCTAGGTTAAGAATGTCTGATCTAAAGAAGAGATTCTTCTGTTTCCTAAAAGTCTCCCATTCTTAGAAGTCCATACAAGTGCCCTAGAGCAATGGCATACAACTCAAAGAGAAACTTGGTCCACTAAACAGTCCAGAAGGATGCACATTGGCTACAATATAAGACACATATTGACTTAGAAAACTACATATAAACATTATCTATGTTCTACTGTGTTTTTATTTATTTCTGTTAAATGTTTGCCAATTGCATTTTAACCTGGTTCCTTCTACACTGGGGAGGGGACTGTGTTTGACACCTTTCCCCTAGAGTAAGCATGAGCAAGCCTATCTCAGGTAATGGAACCAGTTCTCCCCATCCTTTCTTGGGCTGCACATATTGGGGAATCAATTCACCACGTGGTTACCCTGTGGGCTGCTTCATGTTTCTCTGACTATCAGGTGCTACATCAGAGGTGCCAGAACTTTTGATCACCACTTTAGCATCATACACCTGGGATGGCAGGTGGTCCATGATGAATTTCAGCATCACCACCACCTGGAGGTAAAGAGAATTTGGCAGGTATTGAAACAAGCCTGCTAACTTCCCCCACAGGGTCCATGGCCTGGGCATGTACCTCAAAGACTAAGGTATAATAAAATACTAGCAGCTGTTTTATTTGTAGATATGGCCACCAACATTTTCAAGTGACCACATGTAAGGTTTTAAATAGGCCGCATATAGCCAGCAGCTGGGTTGTCCCGACAGAGATGGAACACTGCCCACAAGGCCTCTCTAGGAAGGACTTCCAGGCACAAAAGCCTGTCAACAGAGAGTGCCTTTGGATGCAAGGTACATGCCAGCTGGGAGCTTGGAGCACATACGTCCTCCAAGCACAACTGGGACTGGATTTAGGTGTTCTGTGCCTGCTGGCTGGCAGGTCAGATCCTGTAGGTCTGGCTGAGGCTAAATAGTTGCAAAGCTTATGATCTTTGGGAACACCTATTAAGCTAATTCACTGGATTTAGGGTGTCCATTAAAGTGTATCCATCTGCTAGTTGTGGTACCTGGGATGTAGGGGAGGATAAATTACCTCTATTATATAAGAGCTAGAAAATGCAAAGTATTTAACAAATATCATCTCCTTTTATCCTCACAACAATCCCAGGAGATAGGTGCTATTATCATCTCTATTTTATTAATGAGAAGGCAGACAGAAGCTAAGTGACTTACGCTGGGTCACAGAGCTAGATTTGAATTCAAGTCTTCTTCACTCCAAGTCCAGTGCTCTATCCACTGAGCCACCTTCTGAAAAGAAGAGAACAGCTAGCTGACCTAACCTTGGTTCAGCAGATGGGCCAGTTAAAGGTGCTTCATATTCATACACTCAATGACGATAGCATCTGTATTTATTGAAAATGGCTCTGACCTCAAGTAGCTCCTCTCATCTAGTAATATTTTCTTTTGATATGAAGTGTGCAGCAAAGCTACCATGTATAACATTGGTATAGGTCACTTGCAGTGTGACCTATAAAATGATAGCTCTTACTGTAACACTGGATACATTAGTCTCCATTATGAATAATTGATGAGAGTCCAAATAGGTTAAACACACACACACACACACACACACACACACACACACACACACACACACACACACACACACACTTGAGTTCACTAAATGTGCCTTCTTCTGGAATGCAATGGGATGCTTTGGGGTCATTGAACAGGTCAGGGAGAGACACTGTTAGAGCTGAAAACCCAAAAACAAAAGAATAGTAATACCTCATAAACTAGTTACCACTCAATCTTTCACTTTAGGGAGGGAGGCGTCCCACTGTAACACATTCTCTACGTGACATGGGTTCATTTGTGTAGGCCATCAGCCTATTTTGGGCCCTAGGAATTCTACTCTTTCCCTCACAGACTGCTGCTTTTCCAACTAGGCCAACAGCTGGTACAAACTGGGAAATGGCCTGAACAATACTGGGTGGGGACCTGAGAGAATGGATAAGAATTTCACTGAGATAAATAATCCACTGCATTGAAGTTGGACTACTTTCCAACAGTTCTGGAGCTCTAAGTTCAAAGCTCATAGCACCATCGGTCTCCTGCTGGGTGGCCCACAGAGCAAGGTTCAGACAAGGTCAAGTAGAATGTGTATACGTTTGTTTTGAGCAAGAAACAAGATTGTCCTGTGCAAGGAGGGTGTGGCCCAATCCTCCATTCCAGAGCTCAGAAAAGCAACCAGTAATACAATCCAAAGGTCAATAACATAAATGCTTGTGATGCAAAATCCAGGAGACTAGAGAGAAAAAAACTCAAAGTTCAGACATCCTGGGTGGAAAGCCAGTCCCTTTACCCCATGCAAAGCCAAATCAGAACAACACAGAAAGAATGTCCACTTTGAACAACAGTAGACATGAGTCAGAACTAGAGGACAGTTAGAAAAAGTTAAAAAGTTAAAAAATATGATCATGGACACTTATTTCACTCAGTGCTTGGAAGGAGAAAGCCTCAGTCTTTGGGGGGAAATTTCTATATTGCATTTTCCCAAGAAGCTATGTGTGAGCTTATAGGACAGTGATTTCACCTACCTTCTGAGTAGGTGAGCAGATTCTGTAATGCAGGAGATTTAACAAGAGGGGGAATAGCCTGCAGAGAATGGCAGAGGCAAGAAGAAAGGACACCTTTGTAGAGAGGAGTCGAGTGGCACAAAAGTGATTATGACCCTGTGAGCTCCAACATATCATCCAGACCATGATGATGTCTGCAAAAGCTATAACAAAAGATTTTAGGAGTCATCTTGCCTTAAGACATCAGTGCTATCTATCTTGAGACTGGAGGAAAAGTTATTCAGGAAGAAGGGCTTCAAATATTTTTCACTAGAAATACTAGATTTGTAGTTCAAATACCAGTCACTTGCTACCTGAGGCAAGGCGCTAAGGTTCTCTAGGTCTCTATTTACTCATCTATAAAATGAAAGGATTGGACTTGATGGCCTCTAAATTTATGATCTCATGGGTGCTAAGCCTCAACACATGCAATGGCTTGAATTTAATCTGATGGTATCCCTCTTCTACTACATTAGAGATGCAGAATAATTGAATGGGTTGTTAAATATTTCTGTGGAGAAAGGAGACAGACCAGCTTTGTGGTTATAGGTGTAGGGAACATATCCATCTGAGTTCATTCCTTGTTATTTACATTGCTATTCTGTTTTAATTAAATGCTTTTTGCTTTTGAGGTCATGTATCATTCAGTATGACCTAAAATAGAAATGTATTGGTGGGGGCTCAAAAAGATAGATGGAAGATAGTTGGCATTTATACAGCCTTTTAAGATTTGCAAAGTGCTTCATAAATATTACTTTATTTTATCCTCAGAACAACACATGGGAGAAAGGTGCTGTTACTAGCTGCATTTTACAAATGAGGAAACTGAAGTAGACAGGTTAAGTGACTTGTCTAGGGCTAAGGGTCTGAGACCAGGTTTGAATTTAGGTCTCCCTTGTAGAAAAACAGGCAAATTGATGCACTATTGGTGGAGTTATAAACTAGTCCAGGGGTGGGGAACCTGCTGCCTCAAGGCCAAGTGGCCTGACAGGTTCCCCATCCTTGAAATAGTCCAACCATTTTGGAGAACAATTTGGAACTATGCCCGAAGGGCTATAAAATTGTGCATGCCCTTTGACCCAGCAATCCCACTAAATCTGTATCCCAAAAAGACAGGAAAAAAAAGGGAGGAGGACCTATTTGAATGAAAATGTGTATAGCAGCTCTTTTTGTGGTAGCAAAGACTTGAAATGGAGAAAAGAAATTAAATGCCCATCAATTGGGGAAAGGCTGGACAAGCTATATATAATTGTGATGGAATACTATTGGGTGATAAGAAATGACAAGCAAAATTGTACCAGAAAATCATGGGAAGACTTATATGAACTGATGCAAAATGAAGTGAATAGAACCAGGATAACATGGTACATAGTAACAACAATATTGTAATGATGATTAACTGTGAAAGACTTAGCTTCTCTGATTATTAAAAAAACAATGATCCAAGACAATTCCAAAGGACCCATGATGGAAAATGTTATCTACCTCCAGAGAGAAAACTGATAAACTCACAGTACAGATTGAAGCATACTTTTTTCACTTTCCTTTTTTTTTTTTTTGCTTTTTGTGGGTTTGTTTTTGTTTTTTGTAACTTGGCTCATATGAAATTATGTTTTGCATTATTTCACATGTTACAAATGAAATCATGTTGCTTTCCTCCGTAATGGGTGGAGGAGGAGCAGGAGGGAGGGGGAGAATTTGGAACTCAAATTTTTTTAAATGAACATTAATTTTTTTTTAAATGCAATTGGGAAATATTTAACTAAACAAATAAAAACATAATTTAGAAAAATTAACTCAAGTCTCCCTGACTCTGGTCCCAGTACTTTACTTACTATACCACCTAGTTGCCTCTATAGATAGATAGAACATTTATGAAGTATTTTCTATGGGCCAGCTATTATGCTAATATTTGACAACCAAAACAGTTTTCTGAAGCTAGGTACATGGAGAAGAATGTTTTAATGGCAATTCACTTGACTAAAAAAATAAAACTGAAGCCACATCATTTTATTTTATACATTGGTGTGTATATATGTGTATATATACATGTCTGCTTACATATATGTGTGTGTGCATATGTACATACACATGTGTACATACACACATATACAGAGCGTAAGGCAGCACAGGGACAGACTTTTACATCCCCAACCTGAATCTCTAAAATCTGTGCTGGGGACTCTCTCAGGCGTCTCACAAAGTATTATACTGACAGTCAAGATCCAGAAAACCCCTCAAAGACAGGTCAGTCCCAGTCCTGAAGTCTCTGCCTCTACTGCAGTGTCCAGAAGTATAGATCAATGATGGCCCTTCCAGCTCAGCTGGACATTTCGTATGCGCTTAATATATGTGTTGATCTAATTGAAATGTAGCAATAATATTCTTATTTTGTTTGGTTGGTTGGTTGGGCAATGGGGGTTAAGTGACTTGCCTAGGGTCACACAACTAGTAAGTGTGTGCATTTGAACTCAGGTCCTCCTGAATCCAGGGCCGGTGCTCTATCCACTGCGCCACCTACCGGCGCTATAAAGGATATTCTTTCTGGGCTGAAAAAGTCTACTGCTGTCTTGCCCTGGAAAACACTGAATCAGGTATACCTTGGAAAAGACATAATGTAGTGGATAGGCGATGAACTTGGAGTCAGGAAGGTCTGAGTTCAAAAGTTGCTTCAGACACGTTCTGACAATCTCTGTGGACCTCAGTTTTCTCTGCACTAAAATAGAGGGTTAGACTAAGTGACCTCCTAGGTCCTTTTTCTAGATCAAAACCTATGGTCCTACGGTCCTATGAACCCTCACTTGCATTATGCATTCTCTGGAATATTAACTGGCTCACACATTTTTTCTCTCCCAATACAAAAGTACCTAAAAATCTATAGCTCTAATTTTACTGATCTCGGCGGGGAGAGGCAGAGGTAGAGAAAAGTGACTATTCCCACTAGCTCTTCCTCCCACAGTGTGAGAGTTTATATTACTTCTGAGTCTTTATCCTTTGTTTTGGGAACTGCAGGTCTGTGACCAGCAGCAAAGGATTTCCTGTGATATAAAACTGATTAATTCTTTGTGTGTGTCGTGTCTCAGATTTTCACTGGAGATGAACTATACCTCCACAGGATTGGCCAAGAAAATCTCTTATGTGCCAAGCTACTACACTGTTACATAATCAGGGACATGACCCAACTCACTGTGGCTACTCCCCCCTTTACATCCCATAAGATGTGTCACAAGTTGTCCCAGAAGCAAACAGATTCTCGCCCCCCCATTTGATTTTCAGCCCCTCACAGTCACACTTTCCTTAGCTCAAAAATGTAGTTGGGCCATTGCTAGCATCAGGAAACATAAAGGACCTTAGGAACCATGTAATCCATTTTGAAGAAGCCAAAGCCCAAGGCAGGTAAGTCTTTGGCCAGGTTGCACCTGTGTGACCTTGGACAAGTCACTTAACTTCTCTAAGAGCTATCATTTTCCTCTTCTTTACAAAAGAAGGGGTTGGACTTGATAACCTCTAAAGCAATAGTGTGCTGGAGCCAGCTCCCACTGGGTTTATGAAAGTCAATTGTTGGATTGTTAGTGTGAGCATTTACCCCTTGGAAACTGGCAAACATTACAAGTTATGGCTTGATTTATTGTTCTGTTCTTGATTGTCTAGACTTAAGAAAGCAATAGAAAAATTTTAATAATGCAAATTAAACAAAAAATGTGTTTTGTGCACATTTTTGGAGAACCAATTGTTAAACATTTACCCAGACACTCAACGAGGATACTGGAAATGTGTCTGGTCAACAGAGGAGCAATTTCAAAGACTTCAACTCAGAGCTTTTTTTATGTGCATAAGGTGAGCTGGAAGTAACATCAATACATACAAAGGCCACCAAAAAACTGAGTACAGTGTATTTAGCCCCTCTGGTCAAGTCCCAGGGACAGATATCAGAGGGGAAAAAAGACCAATCCACATGATAGAGGAATCCTGACAGATGGTGCGCCTATCACAGGTATGAACCAAGACCAGAACCCAGGTCTACTAGTTTCTTTAGATTGTAAGCTCCTTGAAGGTGGGGACTATTTTTTGCCTCTTTTTGTATCCCAGTACTTAGCTCAGTGCCTGACATATTATAGGTACTTAATAAATGTTGCTTGACTATTGACTAGTCTCCTGACTCCTAATTTAATGTTCTTTCTACTATTGTCCTTAGTCTGAAATTACAAAATTGTACCCTCATCTAAATGCAAGAGGTCCAAAAAGTTTTAGTGCAATTTAACAGCTTGACACCATACTAAGACTTTTGGGACACTGTATATAATCAGCCCATAGCATCCTTCCCATCATCCCTTGCCCCTTCCCCATCATCACAATAAAATTAGAGCTGTTGTCCTTTCTCCCTTGACCACCCACTCAACCCAAGGCTTCACATTGTATTTCTTTTGAATTCTTTTCCCCCTTTAAACTTATCTTTGTCATTCATTTGAAAATGATTTCACCTGAATTTTTGAAAAGTGTATGTGAATAAGACACCAATTTATCTTGGGTCCCACACTTCTGCAAGGGATGTCTCTGGACCTTGGATCCTCCCTGGAGATGAGTCTGAAGGTAGTTTGCAGAAACTCCTGAAGACATTCTGTTAATAACTATTCTTCTCACTATTGAAGCGAGGGAAGTAAAAGGAAAAGAGATAAAGAGGAGTTGGAGAGCCTTTCTTTGGAGTGTCCACTTTCTGTTGTAATGAGGTCAAAACATGTGGCTTTCATCAGTGCTTTGTGAAATGTGGTATTTAACTAGATCTGGCTTCCATTCACATTCAGAAACTTGGACCCCTAATGACAAATGCAAGACTTCCTGAACTAGGCGTAAGGGTAAGAATCAGGGATTTGAAATCCTTTCACGATATGGTAGTCAGGTTTTACTATTCTCTGGTTCGGGGTAAAGGCTGGCCACAGTATTTAATTAAGCTAAGGAGAGAAAGAAAAAAACTTAGTTGATAATAACCGGGGACTATTGTGTGGTAAGCTGAGGAGATCAAATTACCCCCACAAGTCTACAGTTCAGTACGATGGAAATCTCTGTATTTCCAATATTCCCTCAACAGGGCCGCATTTTCTTACAAGTTACAATTGGTATCAGTTTGGTGCATTTTTTAAATTAGAGATACCACAAGAAAAATAGATTATGATATATAATAACTTTCAGAGAAATCCCCTTTTCTTTCCTCCTGTTGAGATTTTAAAGTTATTATTGTGATAACTGACCTTTACATTCAGTGCCATGGTTTGTATAGTGCTTTATATTCATTATCTTAATTGATCCTTAAAGCAACTCACAGTGAGGTATATGTAAAATATCTTTTTTACAGATGATGAAACTGAGGCTTAAAACAGTTAAGTAAATTTGCCCCTAGTCATATACCTAGTAAGTGACTCAGATGGGATTGCAACTCGGGTGTTCCTAGTTTTAAGTCCAATATACTAGTCACTAGGCCAAAAATTATCACAGTAAGAACATTTTAATTCATGTTCCTTTCTAACCTCCCTATAAAGGGCCTAAATGAGGACTCTTTCACCTTCATTTCCTTGAGTGGAAAGCCCCAACGGCTGCTTTGTTCTATTTTGAAATACCTTGGAGATCTTCTAAGATGGATGATTAAAAAAAGGAAGAAAGAAAAGAAAGAAAACATCTGTTATTCTGCCAAAATAAATATCCGTTCAGAATGGGAGAGGCAACTTATCTGATCTGAAGGGGGCAGCGTGGCTCTAAAGCTTCTTTGTTTGCTCTCCAGTGCCAAGCCCTTATGTAAAAAAACTTGTTCAAAATAAACCTGACAGAGCTGCAGGAGTGCTCTAGTCCAGAGTCCAAGAGATAGAAGGCTTTCCTGTCTTTCTGGAGATTCATGGAATGCTGTTTATAAGCTTGGTGAGGAGCTATTTCTGGGGTTATAAGGAATGTGTTGTTTTGGGGGGTTCAGGAAAAACAAAGAAAGAAGGGCGATTTTTTTGAAGAAGAAGAAGAATAAAAAAACACCATGGCAAGGGGACATTGCTCATGGCTCTCTTAGAAATGAAGAAAAAGGCCTAAAAGGCAAGGACTATTGAACTTTTAATGTCCCTTAAAAACAAAGGGAGTCTCTTAGTGAAGAAAATGCCTCAGGGAACTTTAAACCACCTGGCCTTGCTGCCAGGGCAGTGCTGACCAAGAGGTGTCCAATGGATTTATTACTTAGAGCAACTGAGAATAATAGGACCACAGGTTTAGAGGTGGAAAAGACATTATAGGTCTTATACATACCTTATATTACTTGTCCAAGTTCTTCATCTTACAGATGAGGAAACTGAGACTCAGAGTATGACTTACCCATTAAATAACTATCAGCTATGGAATATCATTCTCTACTAAACTCCATTAGAGGCAACTAGGAAGTCCAATGGATAGAGGATTGGACCCGGAATCTAGGAGACCTGAATTCAAATCTAACCTCAAACACTTGTTAGTTATGACCCCGGGCAAATCACTTTACCTCTGCCACCTTCAGCTTCCTCTATAAAATGGGGATAATAATAGCACCTACCTCATGGGGTTGTTGTGAGGATTGAATGAGATGCCATTGGCAAAGCACTTAGCACAGGGCCTGGAACAGAGTAAGCACTTAATAAATACTTATTCCCTCCTCCCATTAAAGGTTGGTGTGTGTTGATGTTAGCCCTTTGAGTCAATCCCCTTTCTAGTGGTGTTCCATAATGCCCAGTCTGATCCAAAGTTTAGTGTCCTGCTAGTTAGACCTCAGGCCACTGGAGTGGGGATCTGAGTCAACCTCACCATTTGGAGCAGGGATAATCCAGGAAGAGGCTTCTTCTAGACTCGGGATGCTAAATCATGAAACATTGGCATTAAGAATGTGTCTTTGATATTATCTCGTTCAATCTCTGAATTTTATAGATGAGAAACAGGAGCTGAGAGGCATGAAGTGTTTTATCCAAAGTTCTTAAGCCAAAAAACGGCAAGACCAGGTCTCAAACCCAGGTGTCCTGTATTCTAAATCCAGTGCTTGGAACAAGGCCTGAGTGGGTTCATTCAGGGAGTGGTGAACAGAGCACCATTTCCTGGGGCATCTGATGTTGATGCTTGTCAGTTACTAGGAAACTAATCTTTATCATCTTGAAGCTGTTGTTGTTAAGACAAGATGCAAATTCTCTAGTACAGTATGTTTAGCATAATACCTGGAAGGGATTATCCTATCATGTCCTGCCAAGTTGTAACTCATCGCCTCTTGCCACGTGGAGCACAATTTTTTTTAATTTTTATTATATTTTATTATCTTTTTATCTTTTTATTTATATTTTATTATTTATTTACTTATTTATTTTTTACTGTCAACTCCTGAAAGCATCCTCCCTACAGGGCATCATTACTTGAAGAGGGGGAGCTTGTCCTCTGCTAATGACAAAAGCAAGTCTTAGAAGATAGCCTGGGCCCAGGCTTGAAGGACAGTCTCATCAAGGCTCCGATATTAGGTCTCTATAATATTCCATTCCCCAGCATGAGAAAAGAATCCGTAGCTGGGATTGGCAGGGCAGCTACTCTCTTGAGATATGTCTTGAGGAAACCATGCTGAGAGCCCAATGTGAACCATTAAGCCCTAACAATTCAATTTTTAAAAAGGAGTGTCACTGTTCTCATCAATCAAGTTTTCATTTCCAATGGGCAATAACCTTGTAAGGCACTCTCAGGAAATCAGAAGCTAGGGTCCTGTGCGTAGAAAGTCAATATAGTATTTTCCATTGTCAACTTAATCTTATAGACTTAACAGGAATTTCTCCCTTCAGTGGATTTGAAGTTCCATATATCACAAGGGTGAGTAACATAATTTATCAGACTGTCTGTCACTTAAAATGAAAAAGATATGTCTTGCATTTGGGCTTATTAGTGCTACAATAGTATTCTCTTACATTCATATAACACAATTATGTTATGTGCTACAGTACCATTGTTCAGTACCATTAATTAATAATAGCTGACATCTATTTTGATATTTACAATTTCAAAACACTTTATAGACATTATTTCATTGGATCTTTGTAACAACCTTGTGATGCCATGTCTTAGTCCCATTTTACAAGTAAGAGAATTGGATCACAGAGTCATTAATTTAATATGCTGAAGGTCACACCACTGGTAAGCATGCTATAATGGGTAAAGCACTGACAAAATGTGTGTCCATCCATTGAGAAATAACTGAACAAACTGTGTACATACAAATTTGAGTGAATATTTTTGTACCAAAATGATGACTATGATGAATTCATATAAATATGAGAAGACTTGTATAAACCTATGCAGAATGAAACAAGCAGAACCAGGAAAACATATACAATGACCAAAACAAAGGAAAACAATTCCGTAAGACTACAGAACTCTGATCAATGAAATGACCAATCCTGCCTTCAGAAAACTGATGGTAAAGCATGTCACCCACCTCTTGGCCAAAAGGTGATGGACTAGAGGGACAGAATAAGACATACATGGTCAATGTGATGATGAAGATGATAATAATAGCATTTATATAGTGTTTTGCTGTTAGAACACTTATATACATATATATATATATGTATTATCTCATTCGATACAACATGCCTAGCAAGTAGGTGCTTTTATTATCCCCATTTTATGAATGTCAAAATTGAGGCAAATAGAGATTAAGTGATTTGCCCAGTGTCATACAGGTAGTAAGTGTCTGAGGGTAGATTTGAATTGAGGTCTTTCTGACCCTAGTTCCATTACTCTAACTAGTATACCACAGAGCTACTTATGTTGAATTGATTTGCTTGACTATTATTAGGATGGGGGGAGTGAGGGAGGTAAGAAGGAAAGGAAAGGAAAGGAAAGGAAAGGAAAGGAAAGGAAAGGAAAGGAAAGGAAAGGAAAGGAAAGGAAAGGAAAGGAAAGGAAAGGAAAGGAAAGGAAAGGAAAGGAAAGGAAAGGAAAGGAAAGGAAAGGAAAGGAAAGGAAAGGAAAGGAAAGGAAAAGGGGGGAGAGGGAGGGGGAATGAGGGAGGAAGGAAGGAAAAGAAGGAAGGGAAAGAGAGAGATGGATGAAGAGAGAGACAGACGAAGAGAAGGGAGAGAGGGAGGGAGGATATTTTAAAAGCAACTAAAAAATGAAATTCAGAAGGAAATAGACCCAATGTTGTAACTGCCACGTTACAACTAATATATACTTTTTTTAATCTGTACATAATGAAATCCACAGTTTCATATACAACATTTTTTGTCCTTCTCTGACTACCAAAATGTTCAGGATTGTGGATAATGGCAAAATTCACAATAAAAGCAAACTTTGAGTCGAAAGCTTTGATCAGATACTAGCTCTGTTCCTTGCTACTTAGGTGACAATGGATAAGTCACTTTGTTTTTATGGGTCTCAGTTTCCTTTTCTTGGAGGGGACTCAGTTAAATGACCTCTGAGGGTCTTACAGATCTCTTGCCTGGGGCTCTAAATCCAATGCTCTTTGAGATATCTGGTGGTACACTGGGCAGATCCCTGGAGTATAGAGGCCCTGAGTTCAAATCCAGCCTGGGATATTTATTAGCTGTGTGGCTTTGGGCAAGTCACTTAACTTCAGTTTCCTCAACTGGAAAATGGGGGTAATAATAGTACTTACTTCCCAGGGTTGTTGTGAGGATCAAATGTGCCTCGTACATAGGAAGTGCTTTATAGATGTTTATTCCCTTCCCTTCTCCCTCCTTTCATTATATAGGTCCTGCTTGAGGAAGATAATTCTGATACATCTAAAAGGGACCAAAGGAATATTCAACAGTCTCCAATGTGATCCTTACCCACACATCCTAGGAGTCCCATCCGCAAATTTTATTCTGAGAAGTCAGTTTTCTCAATTATTAGTTAATAATCTCAATTCCTTGTGATACAAGGCTTTCTCAGGCACAGCCAGTTTGCTCATGACAGCATCAGGATTACAAATGTTTAAGATACATTTCTTCACTGTCTCCAGAGACACTCAAGGCTGTGGGGGAAATGATAAGAAAATTCATTAATTTTTTGTTAACTGCCATGTCATTCACACCATTAATAAAAATTATTTTAAAATGTTAACGTCCTTTGTTTTTGAAGGATTCTTCCACGGCAGTGAGTGTAAAAACCTATCTAAAAAGTAACACAGTTCCCACAGTGAAATGCTATTGCAGGCTTCCAATTACACTAGAAACATTTTATTAAAATATATTCAAAATCTGAAGTTGTCAATGTCATTTTTCCAAAATTCTATTATATCCTAATGCAATAGCAACTTGACGACCAGACAGTACGACAGTCCTTGGTGTTAATAATATCGAATACCTCCTGAGTCTTTGGAATATTGTATAATATGATCTTGAAAGCTCCAAGGTCAGTTCCCAGTCTGATTTTTAAATTTCCTGATAATATATTATCGGGCTTTTTATTTTTGCTTCAGTAGAAACCTGCCTTCAACACTTTAATAGTCTTGAACATAAAATAAAGATAGAAATGATTAGCATTTGTAGGGCACTTTCAGGGTTCTTAATGATTGTATTACATTTGAAATGCATTTGTGTTAAAGTCACTTGCTTTAAATAGGTATTTAAATTTTCTTTAAAAAGTCAGTTTAAACCAGCCTTTATTCGTTTTCATGCAATTAGCACTTGTAATTGCAATAAATCCATAGGCTTCTCTAAGACCATGACTTGCCTCTATGTAGACAGCTAGAATTCTAAAAGGGCCAGTACCTACACTTTCGCCTTCTCTGCTGCTTAGTTGCAGGCAGAGGACACTGTGTTAGGTGGAGAAGATACAAAGATGCAAATCAGTAGTCTTCGCTATGGTTACCAACCAGCCTGTTGTTTCCGACCAGTTTGCCTGGTATTTAGGTCATAGTCACGTAGGGCAAAAATAGAACTCAGAAATCATCTACTCCAAATCCATCATTTGACAGATGAATGAAGAAACTGAGGTTTCTTCAACAAGGTTAAACAAGTTGATCCAGTGGCAAGCAGGCTAGAGTCAAAATTGGAACTTAGGTGCTCTGACTCCCCAGCTAGTTCTTTTTCCACCATGCCACAGTCTTATCACAGATGCCAATTACTTCTTAGAGGGGCCTAAACTAAGGTGGTGGCTGTGGGAGTGGAGAGAAGAAGTCGGATCAAAAGATGTTGTCAAGGCAGAAAGGCCAGATTTGGCAACTCCTTGGATATGTAAGCAAGAGGGTGAGGAGTTGAGGATAATGCCAAAGTTAGGAACCTACAGACTGAAAGGATAGTGGCACCTTTGACAGAAATTTTAAAAAAAAATTGAAAGTTTAGGGGGAAATATAATGAGTTTAGTTTTGGACAGGTAGAGTGTAAATCCAAGACAGCCATTTGAAATTGCCAACTGATGATATGAGAACTAAAGATGGGGATGGATATAGAGATCTTGGAGTGATCTAATTTAATTAGGATTTACATTCTCAAATTCATCTCCCGCTCTCCACTCCCGCAGCTACCACCTTACTTAGGCCCTTATCACCTCCTGCCTAGATTACTACAACAGCCTCCTAATTGGTCTCCTCTGTATCAAGTCTCTCCCCACTCAATTCATCCTATACAATGCTACCAAAGTAATTTTTCTGACCATGTGACTGCCCAATTCAATCAAATCTAGCATTAAAGTATAAACTCCTACTACTTCTAAATAATATAGACATTTGTTATGGTCTTATAGAAGCCTATGGATTTATTACAAATTATAAGTGCTAACTGAATAATAGCTAAAAGAGGCTGATTTAAATTGATTTATTAAAAAAATTTTAATAGGCCCCAACTTGACTTTCGAGCCTCATTAGACATTACTCCCCTTCCCAAACACCACCATCCACAGTTCTCCATCTCCCATCTGTGCCTTTCGCTAGCCATCCACCTGCCTGAAATGCACTCCCTCCTTACATCTTCCATTAGGATGTAAACTCCATACACCTGATATTATTTCACTTAAATTTGCATTCCCAATACCTAGCACAGTGCCTGGCCATACAGAAGGTGCTTAAAAAATTATTATTGGTTAATGACGATGATGATGATAGATAGATAACTAGAGAGTTCATTAAGCACTTACTATGTCCCTAGCACTGGAGATACGAATATAAGCAAAAAAAAAAAAAAAGAAAGAAAGAAATCTCTACCCTCAAGGAGCTAACATTCTAACCAAAGAACACAACACAAAGGAGTAGTGGGGCAATGATGTTAAAAGCAATAATGATTTATATTTGTATAGCATTTTGTAGTTTGCCAAGCATTTTATAAATATTACTTTGAGCCTCACAACTACTCTGTAACATAAATATATTATAGGCATTATTAATCCCATTTTATAGGTGATGAAATTGAGGCTAAATACCTTGACCATGGAACTGTAGAAGAGATGGGATTTGAGGCCAAATCTTTCCGGAATGAAGGGCAGCACTCATTCTAATATTATAAGCGAATTAAACTGATTTCATGCCTGGATCAAACGCAGAACTGCTTTGAAAAATGAAGCAATCTCAACCCTAAAAATCCAAGCATTTTCTGACTCTAGTACTCCACATTGTTTAGAAAGAAAAGAAAAACAAAAACACACACACACACACAGTCACAGAATCAAATGGAAAACTACTCCAAATCCTTTCTCCAGTCCCTGTAATTTTCTGACAACTCTGTTTTAAGATAAATCTGTCTTTTTCTAAATCACCCATTACAGAGTGTGCCCAGGAGCCGTAGGGTGCCTCTCAACGGGAGAGAAAGGTCAGAAATCAGTCAAAGCCACAGTGATTTCAGTGACTAAATGAACTAGGACTGTGAGTTTCAGAATGTCATAACAACTTCCAGAGCACCAGTTTGTGGTTTTTCGAGAGGGACAAGTAGGTGTGGGTTTCAAGGGTGGCATAACCACCCCTCAAAAAAAAACTGAAATAACCATGCAGATGTGTTGTGTTTACTGTCCGCTGCTTGGTGATAGGGAACTGTTTGCTTGAAAGTAAAAAAGAGTGCTCTCCCTTCACTTGCAACATGACCCTGGCAGGCTGTTATTTTCCTTGTAAAAACAATGTGCCACCTCACGCTAAATTTTAACCCAGCTGCATATGAAGCAAGGGTAGGAGGTTAGGGGAGAGAAGGGAGGGACAGCAAGACATCAAGGAAAGAATACTAATTTAATTCAGTAATTTCATAATAGCATCCCACATAATAATTCAACAAATGGGTCTTATTATATTTAAGTTTCTGCTATGCATAAGGAAGGCACCGACTGTTCTAAGTAACTGGGATTACAAAGACAAAAAGGAGTTTATATTTTGGAATTCTAATCTCTGAGTTCAGACACCAGCTCCCCTAAATTAATATGAATTTAAAATATATTTGTTGAATTACAGATGGCAAAAACTTTAGGCCATTTCTCTTTATTTGCTGGGATGGCTTTTATAGGGTGTTTCACTTGACTCTTGCCGTGTTGGCATCACCTCTGTTTTCCCTTTGGCATTAAGTTTTCAAGTGTTGTTCTTTCTCTTGCATGTGGGACCAGGTAGCTTGAAATACTACCAAATGGCTTATGGGGTAGGATTTAATAAAACAATCTCCCAGGCCCCATTGAGAGATGTCTAGCGTTTACCCAAATAACTTTCAGCTAGAGCCGGACTGACATAGTTCCAGTAACGAACACTAGATGGCAGTCAATTACTACTTTGTTGGCAGCCCAGTTTAGTAAGTATCAAAGCAACTATTTACACATTTTTAGCACACGCACAACATAGCAAAGCTGGGCTTAAACTTCTTCATTTTATAAGCCCAATTAAGAAGTAATTGAAATTCCTGATGTCCCCCAACCACCAAAAAGATACATCTAAAGATCTTCAAGGTGGTGACCTTGAGACTGATGATAAGCCAAAAGAAAGCCGTTGGACATCACATTGGAGATTTAGAGCTGGAAGAGACCTTAAAAGTAATCAAATTCAAATCCTTCAGATTACCAAAAACAGGCCCAGAGAGTTGAAAGGTCTTGCCTGGTATAGGAAATAAAAGTCAAAGGGAGGATTTGAAGCCAAGTCCTCTGACTCTAAATCTAGCGTTCACTTCACTACTCCCTGAGGCAGAGGACTACATGTGCTCAGTCAGAATATGTGCTCCTTGTGAACAGTCTATCTGCAGAGCTTAATAAAGTACTTTGCAGGGGTCAGCTAGATGGTGCAGTGGATAGAGCACTGGCCCTGATGTCAGGAGGACATGAGTTCAAATCCGGCCTTAGATCAAACACTTGACACATATTAGCTGTGTGACCCTGGGCAGGTCTCTTAACCCCAATTGCCTTTTTTTAAAAAAAGTATTTTGCGCATAGTTAAGTGCTTAACAAATGCTTTAATCATACATTCATTCAAATCTGCAAAAGTGCTATGGAAATCTAGCCATAATTTCTCTAATAAAGTGTCTGCATTTCTTACTTGAACTAAACTGAGAGCTAGCTATAGCTACCTCAAGAAAGATGATGACACTATATCCAAAAAGCCTTTTTTCTGCCAACTCTTTATTCTCTGAAAACTCTGGGCTTTCAATTTCACTGGACAAATGTGTATTTACAATAATGTTTCCACATATTGTATCACAGACACACACAAAAATTAAGAACTCCTGGTTTAGAAGATCTCTGTGTCCTTTTCTATTTCTATATTATTTTAGAGGTGGTTCCACTTCATGCTGGAGAAGTAGGCAGTTACAGGTGAAGAATGTATTTGTTGTCAGAAAAGGTCACAAGGTTGGTGAGTTTTGCTTAACTATTTTTCTTTGTTACATGAGAGGACTCATTTGGCAGGTAGCTGGGGGAGGAGAGGTGTATCTGGAAATAACTTTGATGCAAAAACAAAAGGCAGCAATGAAGCATTTAAAAATAAGGCAATAAAGCTTGACGGCACTACCGGCAAAAAAAAAAAAAAAGATTTAATCTCATCTGCACTACCCCTGAACTGACCTTCTGTAACACCAATCC